TTGGCTTCAAATAAAAATACAGTTCGTTATCGTTATGGCCGGCTCACAACATACTCACTGAAACTGACCGGACGTAGAACATAATATTGAGTATTGAGTATTGACATGCCATGACTACCAAATGTATCCGATTACTAGATCTCAGATTGTTCAGCCATCTTACTGTAGTGCTGCTAGAAAAACATCTTTTAATATTATGCCTAAAATATACTTTCATACTCTAGATAAAAAAAAATGATTTCTCCCTAAATAGTAAATCAACTAATCAAAACATGAAGGAACTCCAAAAACATCAGTAACTTTTGGACCAGCAGCACAATGATTTTTCCGAACTTCCATCAAAATGCTAGGCTTCCAACTCAGCTAAATCTGCCAAAAAAAAGATAAAATACATAAGTTTGTTCATAATAGAATTTTGAAACAAGTTTATGGGATATTCACAGACTAATATGCATATTCAGAGTGTACTACTATTGAGGAGATGGTGCCAATTAATAAAATAGTAAATACCATGAAGGCATGTTGGAGTTCAAAGTCTCCTTTTATCACAGATATAGCTAAAACTTAATATTTCAAGAAGTAAACTTTTGTTGTGCAACTACACTGGCATAAAAAATCATGCTCTCACACAAACATAAAACATTCAATTAGGGGTGTGTCTATCATGGAGCAGCCTAAAACTGATGTCATTGCAAAATATCAAGATCAAGATGAGAGAATCAGAAGTTATTACACCACTACTCGAAACATATAAATTAAAATCTAAGTTCCACAAAGGGATCATCCAAGATCACCTAATTTTATATGGATTTGATCACACCAATTTTATATGGTTTTGATCACACCAATTTTATATGGTTTTGATCATCTAAATACTAATGAGAAGTTTGGCAATGAATAAAACCAAGATCAGATGTGAAGGAAAAGCGACATACCAATGTGATTTTTGCGATCAGTGTTCTCCTTAGAGAGAGACTCTTCTCTAATAATATCCTCATATGTTTGAACGTCTTTAGCGGCCTCTCTTGCACTTACTTTGATATGAGATGTATGTAGCCAGCTTTATGTTCAAATTAAGGCTTCATGCTAGTTGATAAGTTGCACCGCAGTGGGTCAATAATCCTCCCACCCACGCTAAAAGCCAACTCCGAAGGTACAGTACAAGCAGGCATGACAAACATATTTTTTAAGTCACTACTCTTATAGTCTAATAATTAGCAATTTCACAGTGACTACTAGTCAACTCTGTCAATTCAGGGTGCGTTTGGATGACTGAATCAGTTTCAATTTTGCTAGAATTGCTGGAAAGGATGCCAAACGGTTTTCAGCGAATCGATTCTCCTTTCCTTTCACTACCCCAGATCTTGACACCACTGTCAGTTCAAAAACCCCCTTCACTGTCGGATTTTGAACCGACAGTGACATACCGACAGTGATGGGGGGTTTGACATCACTGCCGGTTCTTATAAACCGACACTGATGTGAACCGACAGTGAAATGGTTTCTAGAAAAGCTAAAAAATTCATTGAAAAATAGGAATTTTTTTAATACCGGGAGAGGCCCCAGACAGCCACACGGTCACGCGTCGCAAGCCACAAGTCATGCGATTTTTCGCGCACTTCGCGGCCACCGGCGCTCGAACCCCTGATCTCCTGCTTCGCGTCTTCGGCCCCTAAGCACTCCACCTGCAAGTTGTTTGTGTCCAAATGAGGTTTTGGTCCTAGCCATTTTATGTTTATCTGATTTTGAAATGAGTATTTAGGACCCTAAACGAATTCAAATGCAAAAGTTGTCAACTATAAAGTTTTATAACTTTTCAAGATCTACAACTTTTATTTTGACAGTTTCTCCATCCGAGGTCGTTTACAAAATTTGAATTTCAAATTTGAGAAATTCAAACATAGTTTTCCATGACAAGATTATTTCAAATCAAAAAATTATCAACTATAAAGTTTCATAACTTTTTGAGATCTACAACTTTCGTTTTTACTGTTTGTCCATCCGAGGTCGTTTAAAAAATTCAAATTTTATTTTTTTTAAATTCAAACGTAGTTTTCCTTGAGAAGATGATTTCAAATAAAAAAGTTGTCAACTACAAAGTTTCATAACTTTTTGGGATCTACAACTTTGATTTTGGTAGTTTCTCCACCCGAGGTCGTTTATAAAATTTAAATTTCAAATTTTAGAAATTCAAAAGTAATTTTCATTGAGAAGATGATTTCAAATCAAAAAGTTGACAACTACAGAGTTTCATAACTTTCCGAGATCTACAACTTTTATTTTGATCATTTATTCATCCGACATAGTGGTAGGAACATTATTCACAAATGTTACGCATCCCTCTTATTGTTTATAAAACTAGAGATATGTAAATTTTGTGAACAATGTTACTACCATTTTATCGGATGAAGAAATGACCAAAATAAAAGTTGTAGATCTTAATAAGTTCTACAACTTTTATGTTCATGACTTTTTCAACTGAAATCATTTAATATTACAAAATAACATTTGAAGTTGCCATTTTTTAAAATTCAAAATTCAAATAGATAAAACACAGTCACATGAAAAGATGGATAAAATAATAGCGGTAAGAACACAATAAAATTGATAAGGCATGATTTTAGAAATTTTTAGGAAAAAAACATCAAATTTAAAGTTAGTACGAGGGAGACAGACTAGTTACAAGTTTTAGCCCGATGTTAAAAAGAGAAATCAGAGTTTTTTAACAATTTTAAAATTTAATTTCAAACAGTATTTTCAAGTAGTAAATGATCTCAAATGAAAAAGTTTTCAACTAAAAAGTTGCATAACTTTTCGAGATCTACAACTTTTGTTTTGGGCGTTTTTCCATCCGAGGCCGTTTGAAAAATTCAAATTTTAAATTTTAGAAATCAAACGTAATTTTCGTTAGATAGATTATTTCAAATGAAAATATTTGAACATCCAAATGATCTCAAATTAAAAAAGTTTGAACAAAAAAGTTGTATGTCTCGTCGAGTACTACGACTTTGATATAAAATTCATCTTCATCGGACATCATATGAGAAACTTATGAAGTTTTCTTGCAGCACATCACTGTCGGTTTAAGCTACGAACTGACAATGATAGTATCAGTGTCGGTTATTGGCTAAAACCGATAGTGATGACCCAATATTATTGTCGGTTCTTGGCTAAAACCGACAGTGATATGAACCGACAGTGAATACCCGAATATCAGTGTCGGTTAGTCCTATCACTGTCGGTTTTAAAAAAACCGACAGTGATGGGCTATCACTGTCGGTTTTTTAAAATCCGGCAGTGATGAGGCCGGCAGTGATGTGCAATTCTGCAGTAATGTTTAGAAATTCTCCGAACAGAGAAAAGAAGGTTTCTCATATATTCCTCCCTGTAAATTTGGGAAAGGTACGAGGTTTTCCTTGCTATAAATCTGAATTCTACGAAAGATGCACCAGAAGTACTGTATGAGGAGCCTCTAAATTTCGGAATTCTTAAGGATGTCAATTATATTTTTGGTCCTCTCTCTATTGTGCCACCACCATAGCCCATTCCATCCCGATCACTAGTGTGCACAGATAATTAGAAGAGCAGGTATCCAAATTAAATACCATATGTTTCTAATTTTTGTGAGATTGGATTTATATTTTTTTTTGTCACACATAGGGAGAATTGGAGACACTAATTAGTAATATTAAAATTTTGATTTTTCATGCATGCCCTTTTTATTACAAGGGCGGGCCAAGGGGTATTCAAGCGTTTTCATTGAATACCAATTATTTTTGCTAATTAATTGTATTCAAGGGTTGATAAATTATTATTCATGTTGAAAAATAGGGTTGAACCAATCAAGTTTTTTTACTTTGAAATTCTGAATACACATTCTTCAAATCTTGGGCCCGTCTGATGCAAGCCTTTAGCAGGGATAAAGGAAAAGATAAAAGTTAAAGAGAGGGAATAAATCAAAGCCCCCTTCCGCTGTACCTTGTTATGCATCAAAATTACCGTAGCTCTATTTTGTCCGTGGAGTGGGGGGCAAAAGTTTGCTTGGCTTTCTTGATGGTAAAAAAATAGGGGAGAGGCATGACCACGACATTCGAGATTAGAAAAGAAAAGATAGGAGTCTGAGTCTGCACGTCCGCGATAATTTGATTGATAAAGATGACAATTGTGCGCACCCTCCCTGACGATCTGTTTGTTCCATAGGTTCAGCATATCATACCCCCTTTGACCTGGAGAGATACCAAGATGTGCTATTCAAACCTTATAGATGTTTAAAAAATTTCTATGGTGGTAGGCACCATTTTGTTTCGAACCATTGCATCTAGACCAATAGATGGCTTAGATAATACTCCCTCCATTCCAAACTATAAGACGTTTTTGGCTGTCTCGAAAACCATCCAAAGAGGACATATTTTTTGGAGTGGTGGTAGTAGCGCCTAACTGCCTATAGGGACATAATAAGGATGAAAAAATGCTCATCCAAGCTATAGTTACCTTTTATCTAAAGAGGAATGGCAGGTTTTACTCCCCTTACTTTATTCCATGCCTTGCTTCATTTGTGGTTTGTCCAGTGCATGAAAATATGCGAAGAACAGGGAAGGAAAGCAAGCAAAGGATAAAGTCACTGGGCATACCTTGAAGAATCCTCAATGGGATAGAACGTCCATCTGGCATCTGGTTGCCTTGCCAAGAAGAAAAGAGCAGATTAGAAACTAGCAAGCTAGGGCATTACCTCTGGCCATGCATTCCTTCAAGAAATAGATCTGCGTTCCATGCTAGCTAGCACTGGTACGGTGTGTTGAAGAGAAGACCCCTATAGCAAATCAACCACACACCAAAAATAATCCAATGGACGAGTAATCCATTGCACCATCAGGGAGGCTGTCCAAGGTCGTTTCTTGTCGGTCCAAGTACATCTAGCTAAGCTAAGGAGGGTTAGGTGTCTCTACTGTCCGGCGAGACCACGGCGGCGGTGGCAGCAGCCGCCGCCCTGTGCTGTAGCCATGGCGGAGCTGGCGGCTGGAGCCGTCGGCTCGTTGCTGGGCGTCCTCCGGGCTGAGGCCCAGCTGCTGAGACGCGTCGGCAATGACGTGGAGTTCATCAAGGAGGAGATGGAAAGCATGAACAGCTTCCTGGAGCACCTGGCCAGGACGGCGCCACCCAGCGGCTCGCACGACGAGCAGGTGCAGACATGGATGAACCAGGTCCGGGAACTCGCCCACGACTGCAGCAACTGCATCGACCATTACCTACTACGCGGTGACCCGGCGATCCACCGCGCCAGGGGTGGTCTCAAAGGCCACTTTTGGTGGGCTTACTGGTTCGTGCAGGAGTTGATCGCCAAGCACATAGCGGCCACCCGGCTGCGTGAGCTCAAGGAGCGGGCCGCCGATGTCGGCAAGCGCCGGTTGAGGTACGGCGTGGAGATCCCTGGGAAGCCGGCTACCCCAGGTGGTGCCACATCGTCATCGACACTGATGCCATCATCCTCGTCCTCGTCTCAAGCCATTGCCGCACTTCCGGCGGCTGCAGAAGACAATGATGAGGATGAAGGCATTCAGCATCAGGCAGGAGCGATGGCGGAGCATTACTCTTACTACCGTCGACTAGTTCTGGAACCTCCCAGTCTGGATAACTACTTCATAGAGAAGATATGCAACTGGGTGGCGAGACTCAGGACCAACGCGGAACCAATGCGTTCCATCGCCATTGTAGTACCAGAAGATACAGACTACATCACTGTAAGTGAAGGTTTGGAGAAAGCGAGCGCACAATTTAAGCGCACGGTGTGGATCAACCTGCCTTCAGTACACTACCCATCAGATAAGCTAGGACCCAACAAGGTTCTTCTCTTCATCCTGCGTGTATGCAGACTTCAGAAGCAACACAACGATGATAAGAAGTGGAAGGAAGAAAAGGTTACTAGTCGATTCGATGTTTGGAGCAATGGAAGGAAGGAGAAAAGAAGAATCAGGCAGCAATTTGAACGCAGAGTTGAAGGAAAAATTAAAGAACTCAAAAACAAGATTGAAGATATGGAGAGCAAGATTAGTGTTAACATGAAAATGGTTGGTAGCGACAAGAATGAGGCTACAGAAGGGGGGAATCAGATCACGGTCACAGAGGAATTCAAAGCCAATTTCGACAGCAAGATTAAAGAGCTCGAAAACAAGATTAAAGATATGGAGAGCAAGATTAATGAGAAGACAGGAGGGGGGCACGTGACAGGAGGAACAGAGGGGAACATCAAGAATGAAGAAACACAAGGGGGAGACAAGAATGTTGATGAAAAGGGAGGGAGCAACAACGTGACTCAACAAACAGTGGGGGCCAAGGCCAACAACAATGGAGCAACACAAGGGGTAAACAATATTGTTGAACAACTAAGTGTGACAAACACGGCAAGACCCTTAGGTGCACTCTACCTGGCACTGCTAGTGCTATGTGAGGAAAGGAATGAGCAGGAAACCAAGGACGTACTAGAATCGGATGAGCAAAAGATTATCAAGAAAACAGCTATGAAGCTGGCACAGTATATGAAAAGTCAAGGCGTGAACCTGCGCGACAGCCAATACGAACACATTCTGCAGGAGCTGTTCCTGACCAGTGCTAGTAATCCTGCTCCTGCTCCTGCTCCTGCTCCTGCTACATTGGGTGACAAGCAGACCAAAGAAATCAGGGATCAGATCAAAGAAATCATCATCTGTGTGATTAAAGAAGACGTTTTAGCAGTCACACAGTCTACCAAGTCCCGTGTTCCAGGAGAACAAAAACCTGGTGAAGATCAAATCGCCAGTGCCATCCAATATACCAAGGACAAGATTCCAGAAATGGAGCTCAAGATTAAGCAGCAGATGATGATCAAATGGATAGTGGATCAAATCAATGAGCTTTTAGATGATAAAGATAATCTGCTTATTATCCTGCACGATGAGAATAGAAGACGTGGACCCAAGTGGGAGGATATAATGAATGCGGTGAAGCTATTGAAGTGCGCCAAGGGCAGTGCAATGATAGTGACTACGAGGGACAGCCAGAAAGCCAAAGAGTTTTGCTACCCACCCACAGAGCCAATAACATATTCTCTTGTTGGACTATACCATGATATTGTACTCAAGCTCACACAACATAGGGTGAACAACGAAAATGACAACAGCACCCAGATTTTCCGTGACATCTTGGACAAGTGCCATCCACATGAATTCTGCATGAAGATGTTCGCTGGTGCTTTGTATGCTAATCCCAATAGGAGCAACAAAGAACTAGAGAGGCTATCTGAGTGCCTGCAGGTGCAGGATCCTGCAAGTCCAGAAAACACATTGGCCATTAATGCAAAGAAGATATTCAAGTTTTCCTACAGAGATCTGTCTAGAGAGCACAAGACCTGCTTGCTGTACCTAGCCATCTTCAGCCAAGGTGACAACATCAGGCGGTCAACCTTAATAGGACGATGGCTTACAGAACGGCTCATAAGAAAGGAAGACTGGTCCATTGCAGTTCAGCATGCTGAGCAATGTTTCGATGCTCTCATCGACCGGTGTCTTGTTTGTCCTGGGGGTATTAGTGCTAAAGGAGAGTTCAAGAGCTGCATGGTTGGCCATCTTGTCCATGGATTTATAACCAAAATGGCTAAAAAGCAACACATTTTGGATCCACGCCTGTCACATCTCTTGGCTAGGCACTTTTCCATCTTCAGTGGTCTCCGACTCCGCGCCTCTGATACCATAGAAAAGTTTGTCAAGGAGCTTCATAATTATTCACCTCACCTATCACAACTCAAGTTGCTAGATCTGCAAGGTTGTCAATGTTTTGACGACAAAAACTACTACCTCAAGGCCATATGCAACAACATTCCATTTCTCAAGTATCTAAGCCTAAGGGAAACAAATATTACCCATCTACCCAGAGAAATCAACAACCTCCATGACCTAGAAATATTGGACATACGGCAAACCAGTGTGCCTCCAAAGGAAACAAGGCATGTCCTGCTCCTGAAGCTAAGGCGCCTGCTTGCTGGTGACACTGATTCAAGTGCAAGCGGTAATGGCACAGGCATAACCAATAGGAAGCAGAAGTCAGTATGCTCATGTGTCAGTATCCCATTCAAGATTGAGAAAATGGAAAACCTCGAGGTGTTGTCTAATGTCATGGCTTCGTCACATGGAAATGAGTTGAAGGACATTAGTAAGTTATGGCAGCTGAGGAAGCTCGGTGTAGTTATCAATGATAATGACACACACCTCTTGAATTTGCTTCAAGCCATTGGGGACTTGAAAGAGTGCCTTCAGTCTGTTTCGATCACGATAGCTGAAACCAGGAAGGAGGAAACCTTCATTGAACCAAAGTTACTAACAGACCGTATATACAGCCGCTTGGTACAACCACCGAAACTCCTAGAGAGTGTAAGCATCAACGGACGCACAAATAGGGTGCGGATCCTCTCATTATTGGGCAAAGGTAGCAGTGAACTTGCCAAGGTGGTTCTGAGTGGCACCATGTTGGAGCAGAGAAACCTTAAGGTGCTTGACTCTCTTCCCAAGTTACGCTGCATCAGGCTCTGTCATTTTGCATACAATGATCCTCAGCTCACCTTCGAAAAGGAAGAATTCGAACATCTGAAATGCTTACTTATCGATGGACCCAATATGACTGACATCAACTTTGTAAAGGGAGCAGCTGTTGCACTCGAGAAGATTGTTTTATCCTCCACCAACATAAAGTATCTTTATGGTGTCGGTCACCTTCCAAAGTTAAAGGTGCTTGAATTGAAGGGCAACGAATTATTTGATTCATTCTCTGACGGAGAAGCAGCTGCGCTGAAAACCACTGAACCTGTATCAGCTTCTGAAGATAGAGCAGCTCCTCAGAAAAACACTCAACTTGTTTCACATCCTGAAGATGGAGGAGTTCCTCAGAATCAGACTCAAGTTGCTTCACCTCCTGATGATGGAGCAGTTTCTCAGAAAAATACTGAATCTGTTCAGCTTCCTGAAGATGGAGCAACTTCTAAGAAAAAGACTGAACTTGTTTCACCTTCTGAAGTTGGCGAAGCTCCTCAGAAAAGCACTGGACTTGTTTCACCATCTGAAGATGGAGCAGCTCCGCAGAAAAATACTGAGATAAATATCACCTTCAAGAAGGAAGAATTCCAGCATCTCAAGTATTTCCATTTTGAGGACAGAAGAATAATCAACATCATATTTGAAAATGAGGCAACTCCTGAGCTTGAGAAGATCATCTTGTACATGGCCAGCACAGAATCCAAACTTACTGTGTCTGGTAACCTTCCAAAACTCAGAGAGATCGAAGTGAAAGGAGACAAGACAATCTTCCTTTCGCTATTCAACAATGCCGATAAGATTAACAAGGTGACTCTCTCTGATACCAAACTCAACAAAGGCGATGATATATATAAACTCCTTTCGAAGAAACAAAGCATGTGCTGCCTAGAGCTCCTAGACAATTCTTATGATGAAGATGAAAGCCAGCTTACCTTCGACAAAGATGAATTCGGTAACCTAAACCTACTTATTATCAAGTGCTCTAAGATAAGAAAAATCAACTTCCACAGCAGATCTTGTCCTAACCTCGAGAAGATCATCTGGTTCTACAACGGGTCTTATCCTCAAGACGAAATCCAAATCTCTGGCATGGAAAACATTGGGAAATTGAAGGAACTTGAGCTGAATGCTGACTCCGTCCCTCGTCAGTTGAGGAAAGACATCAAAGCACACAAAAACAAGCCTGTTCTCACACTCAAGAAACCGCCACATAAGGACGACAAAGCACACGAAGAGAAACAGGATGATGTGTCATGCTTTCCACATTTCACCACCAGCTATTTCTCCAAGAAGAAGGATCAGCAGTAGCTGATCGAGGAAGCTAAGGTTTCCATTCTGCTTCCATCATCGTTGGCTTGTGTGTGAGTGTTTGTTTCAGTTCTGTGTGGGTGTTTGTGTTTTGCTTACTCTGAAGTCAGTGGTGTGACTCCAATAATTCCACATCAGTGCATCAGCTGCACGTGCCATCTGAGTGCACGTGTGTGTGTGTGTGATTGAGGTGTGGAGCAAGATGCAGCTTCTAAGCTGTGACTGTGCTCATGTGTATCGATTTGGATTTCCATGATTACTGTGTACTTGTGTGTGGCCTTCCTCTGCGGAGGCAGAGGCACGTGTGCAGATGCTTGCCTGCCTCGAGTGGTTGCCTCTGTACTGTGTGTGTGAGCATACGGGCCTTGTTTGCCCATGCATGCTCATGGATTTGGTTGTGTACTATGTGGCCTCCCTCCAGAGCATGTGGTGTGGCTGGCTCCATCCATATAATAAGTGTGATATTTGGCTTGTTAATTGAGTTCCTTTTGTTTGCTGCGTGTTTATCATCATCTCACCGAATGGCCCAAGTGACAGGGCCAGATGTTTCATACATATCTGTCATGCATCGGTGGTGTCTGTCAGCGGCGGACCCAGAAACCAAGCAAGAGGGGGCTAAATAATAGTAGGCTAGAACTCATACTAGTGGCGCAGCAATAGATATAACAAAGAATGGAAATGATAATATCAATTCAAAATGTTCAAGCAATACGTACAAATAGAGACCATCCCATACTTTCACACCATCTTGATGGTCGTCTTTAATTCTACGTTAAAATTTTAAATATGTCATAGTTGTTGAAGAAACAAGATAACATTATGAATTGAAATAAACAAAATACAATAAGTACCATTCATTTCTTGGGCCATAGCGGGGAAAATTTAACATTCGGATTTTTAAGACTTGAGAGTGCTTTAGAAAATTTTCATCTTCAACAGATGCATATTAAGCTCAAGCTGTAGTCTTTTTTTCTTGAGGGTTTTACCTGTGTACGGTGTCAAACTGCGCTGGAAAAAGTCAAAACTACCCTCAGGTCTAGTGGTACGTGTGTATGAGATCCTTTAATCTTGGGCATAGATCCAGAGATGAACGGTGAAGGTTCATTGCCAGTATAACTGTATTTCTAAATTTATTTTTTAAAGGAAAATGGTTGTATAAGGAAAACTGTTCCGGCGGATCTCAAGTGACAGCAAACCTCGGCACCTGACCCTGGTGTCATTTTCATCGAACGGATCCTTCTGAACAGCTCTGGGAAGCCCACGGTGTGCTTGAGCACCCGCTGTCCGGCATCGTAGTCCTCGAGCACCCACACCAGAAGCCTCAGTGGCTCCTTGAGCACTCACACCGACGTGCCGTCGGTGTTGACGACCAGGTGCAGCGCAGCATGGAAAACGGCGGCGCCGATGCCCGGGTGGATGAGCGCCATGTCGCGGCCGCAGTACCGCCACCCTCCGTGGAGGGGAGTGGTGGCGCAGATCGATGCGTTCCTTGAGGCCCCAGGGACGGCGACGCGCCGCTAGCCATCTCCGAGGTGACGCTGGACAAGTTCGCTAGTGCCGTCGAGCAGGAGATTGCACAATCGGAGGGCACGGTCAACAACTGGGCGCGCGCCATGACGCGGAGCTCCATCTTGGCGCGCACGCGGAGCGCTGGGTCGGTGTTGAGCAGCACGGCCGAGCCGCCGCAACGAAAGAGGCAGTGGCGCATCATCCGCGTACCCATTGGGTGCGATGCACTCCACGAAGATGACGAGCGCCAATGCCGGGCGCGGGGACAAGACCGGGACCGCGCGTTCATGGTGCTCCGGGCAAGGTCCACAGTGACGAGCTCGGCGGCGCAGCCCATCCCAAAGAGGTTGTAGGCCGCGACGTCGCAGGGGCCGAGCCTCGTCTGCCTGGCGAACAGCTCCGCCACAGCGCCGTGGAAGATGGCGTCCATCTCGTCGAGGCAGTCTTGGTGGGTGGGGCTGTGCTTGTGGCTGGCGATAACGGTGCACGGAGCGTAGGTGTGCTCACCGTGGCTGGAACAGAGGATGATGCGGAGGAGGAAGCGGTGGAGGGGCACGCTAAGCCGCTTGCTGCGGTCCATCGTGGCGCTGAGCATTTCTGTGGACACCTTGTGGTCATCCGGCGGCTTGTAGCAGGCACAGTCCAGGAGGTAGCCCCACGAGTGCCGGCGACGGGAGGCGGTCGCCACGGTCAGTTAGCCGACCACCACGAGTAGCGGCAGCAAGAGATGGCGACGTGGATCAAGGCGTTCTAGTACACCGTTGAGGTGGACCTCCCCAGCGAGCGCGATCTTCCGTGGCCACGGCGTGGGCTGGCTCGAGCGCTCCGAGCACGGGGCCAGCAGATCCTAGAGCAGCGCGCGGGCAGGGCCAGAGATCAGAGCGGCGCGCAGGTGGGGGCCAGAGATCAGAGTGGCGCGATGAGCTTGGGATCGAGGACGTCGGGGTCAGCTCCGGGGTGGAGAGCCTCGACGGCCACGGGAGACAGGAGGGCATTTTGGACGTTTTACCTGGCTGGGCCCACATGTCAGGGCTAGCAAACGGCGAAAACCAGATGGAAGTTGGATGGAATGGCGTGGAGGGCAAAAAAATGTTCGACGATGGCACCTAGATGCGCTCGAACTTTTTAGTGGCCTGTAGGTAAGGATCATCTTTTTTAACGGTAGATAGGTAAAACCCTCTTTTTTCTTAACTCCGGCTCTCTTTAGTTCGAGCACTACTCTTCGATGCATCATTCTTAATAAAATACCTTTCCATCCTTCCTAGCTTTCTATGCCTATGATATGATTGAAATATTGCAAATTGGAATGTGACTATTAGGATCTAGTCAACTAAGCATTCGAATATTGAAATTCGACAACTAGACCCTAAAAATCCCATATACGTACTGTTCTGTACTCTCAGATCTAACCGGGAGCAGCCTGCAGCAGAGCAGAGCAGGGGCGGTGCCGTGCGCTGGTGAGTGGTACCTCTGCCCTCCCTTTCGACTTCTGAAATCTGGAGCGCGGACCCTGTCACTCTGCCTGCCCGCCTCGGGGTGCGCCTGCTGCTGAAGGGGCGACCAGCCACCTGCGGCCGGGCGCCGCCGCGGGGTAAGGCTGCAGTCTGCAGAAGGGGCTGCCAACGGCAGCGCGGCCGGTTGGAGCATGGAGGGCTGGAGGCGGAGGCAGTGGCGCGGAGCTGTGGATCTTGGGCGCCTGGGCAGCCTCGCCGTGACGCCGTCGCCGGGAACGGGAAGGGAATCTGGGAGTCGCAAGCCGCGAGCGTGATGCGGACGGGACTAGGGAGGCGGCCGCTGGGTATGGATGTCTCGGGCAGTGTCTGTGTTGGGCTGGCCGTGGGGTAAGGCCTTCCGTGCGCTGGCATTGGGGTGCTTTCGTGGGCTGCTAAGGAGCTACTCCTAGAAAGAGCTGAGCTACAGCCCCCAGCCCAGGGCCCATGTCCGCCCACACTGTCTGGTCATTTTTAAGACAGCAGAAAAAAGAAAAGAGAAGACTTGAAAGAAGTGAACAGTTATATGTTTCCTTTTTTTCTCATTGTGATGGTATTTTTTTAAGAAAAGGGAATAGGTATTAATATTTTAGCCTCTATATCGATCGATACATATAGCTGTCCATTATTACAACCACGACACTGTTGAAAAAGAAACCAAAACAACCAAAACAAGCATTCGACACATCATGATGATGGTATACATATCACTGGGTCAGAGTCTAAATTCAAGACATTCAAATTGTTTGGCTGTTCCTTTAACACAAAGTTCATGTATGTGATTTACATATCGAATCTCCTGTCACTACAGCAGACGCGTGTTTTGCCGAGTGCAATTACACTCGGCAAAGAAGGCTTTGCACTCAGCAAAGAGCTGTTGGCATATCTCTTCACGGCAAAGGCTTTTTTGCCGAGTGCTTTTTGTCGGACACTCGTCAAAGATTTACACTCGACAAAATGAAAATGCGAAAAAAAACCAAAAATAATAGTAAAATTTTTCAAAAAAAAAATTCGGGGGAGGCCGCCACCGGCCAACGCCCGCTCATCTTCATCGAAGTCGGTGCATTTTTTGCGCTAAATTCGCCGCTAACGCGGCCGGCGGAATTCGATCTCACGACCTCTCCCTCGCGTGTCTGCTGCTCTACCACTGCACTACACTATCACTTGTGTCTAGATTACGTTATCTATCCTCATATATTATACTAAATCGAGAGTAAATTGCTTGTTTGAGGCCCTAAACGAATTCAAATCAAAAAGTGGTCAACTACAAAGTTTCATAACTTTTCGAGATCTACAATTTTCATTTAGGAAGTTTTTCTATCCGAGGTCGTTTGAAAAATTCGAATTTCAAATTTGAGAGATTCAAACGCAGTTTTGCATGATAAGATGATTTCAAATCAAAAAGTTGTCAACTACATAGTTTCATAACTTTTGGAGATCTACAATTTTCATTTAAGAAGTTTTTCCATCCAAGGTCTTTTGAAAAATTCAAATTTTAAAATTTTCAAATTCAAACGTTGTTTTTGCATGACAAGATGATTTCAAATCAAAATGTTGCCAACTACAAAATTTCATAACTTCTCAAGATCTACAAAGTTTATTTTGGTTATTTATTCATCTGACATAGTGGTAGTAACATTGTTCACAAATCTTATATATCTCTCTTCTACTTTCGTGAAACTAATATGAAAGATATGAGAGATGTAGATTTTATGAACAACGTTATTGTCGCTTAGTCAAATGAAGAAATGAACAAAATAAACTTTGTAGATCTTGAGAAGTTATACAATTTTGTAGTTGAAAAGTTTTTCATTTGAATTCATTTAGGGCCTCAAAAATTGCTTTGAAAAACTAATTTGCCGAGGGACAAAAAAAAATACACACGGCAAAATGCCTCTTTACCGAGTGCTAAAACAAAGGCACTCGGCAAAATACATATTGCCGAGTGCCAGAAAAAAGGCACTCGGCAAAGACGCATTTTGCCATGTGCCGAAAAATAGC